CAGTATGATAAGAATTCATTGTTAGGAAAAGGAGCTAGTAGCACTGTTTACAAGTTAGTCACAGCGATATTCAGCAATGATAATTTGCCACTTTTATATGGCAGGGGAGTAGGAACCATTTTTCAATTGGGGGGCAAGACAGATTGTGTGTATGCATGTATATGTATGAGAAAGGGGGTCTAGGGGTACCCCCCAGAAAAAAATTTTAAAAAGAGCTGCTCAGAGAGCAATTTTAACATGTTTTTGAACTACAATTACAATGTCATAATTATTATTATGACAGCAAAAAGGAGGGTGACCTGTCACCCCTATCACCCCCCTAGGTACAGGCCTGTAATAAATGAAATCATTGGCTGATATTGAGGGGGCAATGCCCCCTCTGAAATAATATTGGGGGGGGCAACTTGCCCCCCCTGTTCCTACTCCCCTGTATGGCGGGACTAATAAGCATGTCAATTTATAAGTTTCCTTTACATTCATAGAGGTACTTTTAAAAGGGAAGGTGTTGCAGTGAAAAGGATGAAAGAGGAATTATCTGATGATGACAAAAAGTTTCTATTAAGCATTAAACATGACAATATTGTATTGGTACATTGTATTGTGAGTTGTTAATAATACTAATCATCTTGGTGAAGTACTATTATTAGGAAAGTCATCAGGGTCTTGACCACATTGTTCTGGAGCTTTGTTTGGCTTCTTTTTATCAAGTTAGTTAACCTTATGATAATGTTTTTTTATACACATACTATAGTATTTCAAGAAATTAAAAAAAGTAATGGATAAATTTGATGGATTGACTGTTGTCAAAAAGAATGTGAATCAAGATGCAGTGAAAGGATTGGAGTATTTACATGAACAAAATATCGGTATGTTATGATGTACATGTACATACATTAGTAAGAAGTAAACTGAGTAAAACACTAGTGTTAGTTAGTATTCACACTTTCAGTCCATAGAGATATCAAGCCAGGAAATATTCTTTTAGTACAAAAGAGCTCTTCATCTGAAGTTAAAGCAGTCCTGGCTGACTTTGGAATCTCTACTAAATTGAATAATCGAGATGCAGTGACCACACAGAGACGTAGAGGAACTGATACATGGATGGGTCCGGAACTATTACTTGATGATATAAAAGCTTGTGTAAGTGTAGTGATTCAACAACATGATTTAGTATTTAATTTACAGAAATTCAGTCGAGAGTCAGATATATTTTCAATGGGGTGTGTCATATATTTTGTTGAAACTGGCGGAAGCCATCCCTTTGACAAAGGACATGATGATGATTACACTATTCATCAAAATGTCAAAAATTATGATCGATGTGATTTTCGTCTACTTCATGGCAAACCAAAAGCTACTGCTTTAATTAAAAAAACGATACAGCTTGACAGAGCTTCAAGGTACACATGACTATTTTTAATTTTACATTTTACTAATTTATCAATAATAATAGACCAAGTGCTAGTGAAGTATTAGATGATCCTTACTTTCAGGAAGATGATCCACAAGACACTATACATGTACCACCACAGCTGACCGAAGGAGAGGAAGCACCTCAGGGCGCTACACTACAAGATACCAGTGAGGTACAAGATGGGGCCAGTATTCCACCACCAGAGCAGAGTGTGACAGATACGTCATATGGTATGTACTAACACATTCACAAGTTATTATGAAATTATTTTTTAGGTAAACAGTTGCATAACTCTATGTCAGATATGTCTCATTCTCTTCCTCGATACATAGTTGATCAGTATATCAGATTACTTACAATTGTTGGTGTGAAATGTGACATGAAACCTGACTGGTCACTATCAAAAAAGTTTTTAGAGTTGTACTCCACCCACACATCAGAGAAGTCTCCACAAGTTGCTGCAAGTTATGTGTACAAGATACTGACTGGCCTGGGGTATGAAGAAATGGGTGACTTCAGAGCATACTTGCATACTGAAGTAGAAATTGACTCAAAAATAACTGAGGAATTGGAGAAAATTACTGAGTTCAGGCCAGCCATCATTAAAGTTGTACGTGATGAACTGGGTCCTCGTTTGGGTGACTATCAAATTGATCGCTATCGTATGGTTCTCACTGTACTATGCAGTATTACGTTTGATTCTAACAAGTCCTTTTTTGAGCTTTTCACTGATTTGACAGGAAATCTTGGGAAATACCCTCTCGCTGTTTCCTTGACTATTGGAGTCCTGGAAAGATCTGGTTGGGGGGATACAAAGAAATTGAAGCTGTTTTCATTACCAAACTTTGATATTAACACGTCTTATCCTAAAATATATCTCTGCCTAACAGTTGCTGATTACTATGGTAACATGAGTCAGAGGGACTTCAGCAGTGCTAAGGTCTACACCTCTTCACTTCACCTCAACAGCCACAATGTGTCTAATATGAGTAGAGTCCAGTTTACACTGTTACTGATGGAGCGTGGTGTTATTGAAGTTGGTGATGTCTCTAAAATTGAGGATAATGATCGATATCCTCTCTTCTTTAAGAAATACAAACAGAGATGCAAAGGTAAAGAAATCAATCCTTTCCCACTGAAAGTCATTACTACTTACAATAGGACCAAGCAAGGTGACTGCTCCAGCAACTGATGAGACAGTGGCAGTTCAACAGAGGAAAGCTCAAGCTACTTCAGGTCAAAGTCCATCAACTTCAACTGGTAAATAAACTTAATAATTAATCCAATATCAGCTATAGATTCATTAACTTATTTAAGTGTAATTGTTAGTTAATTATGCTGTTTTCTTTCCATTATAGATCAACCAAGCTTCTTGACTCAAAGCAGGAAGCATAAGGTATGTATTGGTGATTATTTACTTGCTATTTCATGTACATGTGTGTGTATGTAATTTAAAATATTTGTCTCCTTTCAGAAGTACCTGGTACAGCCACACAAGTCAATAAAGGACCAACACTATGTTCATGTTTAGAAAGACTCTTTACTTTAGGGAACTTGATAATTTAACATACCAATGCATTATAAGGCAGCAGTAATACTGGAATATGATTATTGCAGTGAAAAATTTTTATGTAAATTTAATAATTTTAAATAAGTTTAATTTTAATCAGCCACTCCCTAAAATGAATGCATTTCAAGCCTTCATAACCAGTGTCCATCTTAATGGATACAACTATGGATCAGTGACTATACCTCAGTTTGTTAAAGTGATGTTGGATTGACTATATGGACCATAGCTTTATAGTAAGTTGAGTAAAGCAATAAATTGATTATAAGTGGAGGGCTGTGTAGCATTTGTTGTAATACTATCAGTACATGTAATACATTCTAAAGAAAACATGTACTGTAATAGCAAGAGTACATAATAATATAAAGAGAGTATTGAACGGCCCTATAGAAGAC